TTTTGTAATGTCAAGGAGCTCTGGTAGTGTAGTGGTTACGAATTGGGCTGCTAACCTCAATCAAGGTGGGCAGTTTGAAACTATCAGTTGTTCCGTGGGAGAAAGATGAGGCTTTCTGCTCCTGTAAAGATTTGCAGCCTCAGAAACCCTGTGCAGGGTCGCTGTGGGTCAGAACCGACTCCATGGTACTTAACAAGAAGAAGAAGAAGAAGAATGCAGAAGCCACAGATAAGCAATAGTAAAAAAAAAAAAAAAAAAAGTAACTCCACATTGTGGTGCTGTAGGATAAGCATTGGATTGCTAACTGCAAGGTTGGTGGTTCAAACCACCAGCTGCTCCTTGGAAACCTTATACAGGCTCGCTATGAGTTGGAACCAACTTGACGTCACTTAGTAACAACAGCAACAATATGGGTAATGAAACTAAAAGTAAAAGAAACAAATCCAAAGGGAAGTTTTGAAAATCTGAAACAAGCAAAACTTTTGAACTTGAATATATAAAATAATTCTGCAAAATCAAAAGAGCTAATAAAAGAAAATAACGGAAGCAAATATGGTAGGTGAAGGGTGACGATAGAATGTAGAACTCACAAAACAGACCAAAAAGGGTAAGAAGTTGAGCACACATATCATGAAAAAGGAGTTTTAATTTGTAAGAAAATATGTGGGGAGAGAGGGCCTCACTATTATCCAAAGGAATGGAATTTAAACCAAAGAGATACCATTTCCCATCTCTCAAATAAGCAGGGGGTTTGGCTTTGATTTTCCATGGTTGTTGTTGTTAAGTGCTGTTGAGTCAGTTCCAATTCATATTTTCATGGTTGTTGTTGTTAAGTGCCATTGAGTTGGTTCCGACTCAGAGCGAGCCTGTATAGGATTACCAAGGAGCAGCTGGTGGTAATACCCAGTAATTCCCAGCAGGATATGAAGATGAGTGTGGCATCAGGATTGGAGGAAGATGCAACTGTGATATGCAGATGGTACAACCTTGCTTGCTGAAAGTGAACAAAAGACTTAAAATACTGATGAAGATCAAAGACCACAGCCTTCAGGATGATTAACACTCAATGTAAAGAAAACAAAAATCCTTAAAACTGGACCAATAAATAACATCATAATAAATAGAAAAAAGATTGAAGTTGTCAAAGATTTCATTTTGCTTGGATCCACAACCAATACTCATGGAAGCAACAGTTAAGAAATCAAACTATGTGTTACATTAGGCAGATCTGTTGCATAAGACCTCTTTTAAGTGTTCAAGAGCAAAGATATCAGTTTGAGGACTAGGAAGCAGTCACTTTGTGTCTAATAGAAATAGGTGAAGTTTGCATAGCATGCCTGGTATAATGGATTTTAATAAACAGTACACAAGGAGAAGGGAGGAATGGGAAAATGCTAGGCTGCTAATGGTTTTGCAGCAATAACAATCTAAAAAAGAGAGGAGAGGGTGGGCAACAGATGTCAGTACTAATTAGACAAACTCAATTACCTCCCGGGTTAGTTCTCCTGGTTTGGTCCATCCAGTCAACTGGCATAATATAGTTCCTAAAGTTTGTGTTCTATCTCCCAGGATGGTGAGTAGGGTCTTGGCTCTTATAAGCTTATGAGTGGCCATCTGAAATGCAGCTATTAGTCTTTATTCATTTGGAAATAAAAGAGAAATAAGTAAACTCAAGAATCAGAGAAGGAAGTGGACTGCAGAATTGTCAATGTGAATCACTGCCTCCTCTACTTGAGACCAGAATAACTAAATGATACTTAGTTCTACTGAATGTTCTGATCAGGAACACAATAAATGAATCCTAATGCAAAGAAAATGTAGAACAGAACTTAAAAATTCATAAAGAATCCAGACTTGACTTACTGAATGAAGTTGGAGAAGTCCCTGAGACAATGGCCCTGAGTTACTCTTCAAACCATGAACTGAAGCTATTCCTTGAGGTCACCTTTAAACTAAGTTTAGCTCAAAAAAGTAAAAATTCCATCTCTCAGTATTGTTTTTTTAAAAAAATTACATAAGACGTAAGGGTCAACAGCTATTCTAAAGCATAGACGAGAAGGTTGCAGGACAAGGAGACTGACCAGATGGAAGTGAAATGAGGACAACAGAAATGACCAGAATGTTGACATGATGTGAAGAGTGCAGGCACATCACAGGCCACTGTGTCTAGAGACTGGAATGGGAGTGGGCTTTGCTGTGTATATTTTCACCAAAAATCTAATCAAATAATAAAACTAAAAATCATAGACATGAACTCCAGTTGCCAATAGCAACTCTAAAACACAAAGGAGATTAGCCTAAGGGACAGAGACTAAGTCAATGGTGATAAAACAATATGGATGGAACCAGTATCATCAAACTGTAAATGCAGAAATGCTCAATAGGTGATATTCTGTTCTGCATCTTTTCATCAAAAAATAAAAAATTTTTAAATGTGAAATTTTTCAATAAAAATCTGTGTATGAAAGAATGGGGGCAAAAAGGATTCCACGGTAATCCGTATATGAACATTATTTACTGCACTCTTCATAGGCAAATTATTACAATACAGTATCAGAGAAAACAGCTGAAGTGAGGTGGAGAGCTCATTGGTCTCCCTCAGCCTCCAGGCCCACACATTTGCCCCTGAGGTGAAGTTCATTGTAAAACACTGAAATTGAGACCTAAAGAAGGAAAAGACTTTACTAAGGATTACATAGGAAGTCAGTAGTAGATTAGAATAGAAAACCCAGCTCTTGCAACTTTGTTCAAGGAGAAAAGGGATTTCTGTATAGTATTAATAGCCACTGGATACTATTAATCAGGAGCTTCACTTAGCTTGACTTGGTTTTTAAAAATTCATTTTGGCTGCTGTGTGGAGAATGGATTATAGAGGGTTTAGAATGGAATAGTTCCAAGACTGACTGGGAAAAACCAAACATTAGTAGAGAAGTATATATAGGAAGAGAGAACAGTTCAGACACTGTTATGTCCATTGGTTCAGATGAGAGATGGTTGGCTAGGAACAGAATGCCTAATGGAGATGGAGAGCACGTGATGGATTTGACATCAATTTTAGCAGTAAGGAGGAGAAGGAGAAGGAGAAGTTAAAGATGACTGGTTTGGGCTTGTGAGCAAGTGGATGATGGATAGCGGAGGCTCTCTGTCTCTGTCTCTCTATCTCTCTGTGTGTGTGTGTTTAGAGCGGGAGAGAGAGAGAGACAGAGAACACCAAGGGTGTTCTTTGGGCATATAAGGTTGAAGTCTCTATTAAACATCAAAATGGAAATGTGATTTAGGGAACTGAATGTGTTAGTCTTCAGCTCAGATGGAAGATTAGGTAGCAGATAGATATTTGAAGGCTATCAGCATCCAAATGGTATTTATGACTATACTATGGGATAGGATTCCTTAGAGAGAGGAACTAGATACTAGCGGGTGACAAGATGTAAGTTCTGGGGCATTCCAACTTTAGAAAGCAAGCAAAGGAAAGCAATCTAGCAAAGGAAGCAGACTGAAAGGGTACGGACACTTAAGAACAGCCAGCAATTGATTCCTTATAAAAGCAGATGACAAAGTCTAGTTGTGGTGACTAATTTTCAAGAGATTGGTTTGGCAAATACACCTAGCAGCTGGATTGGGTTACAATAAATGCTTAATGATGATTAGAAAATCTCAATGACTTCCCTCAGAGACTCTTCCCTCTGCCCTGCTGTATGGGGCCTCATGGCATTTGGACAGACTTCAGGACTAAATTGTACAGTCAGGTCATCAGACACATTTATTTGAATGTAAGTATCGGGTCTTCTAACCAAAGAGAAGCCAGGTAGCACAGCGGTTAAGTGTTCAGCTGCTAATCCAAAAGTCGGGGTTTGAACCCACCAGCTATTCCATGGGAGAAAGATGTGTCAACCTGCTTTCATAAAGATTACAAACCAAACTCAACCCACTGCTGGGGAGTTGAATCTGACTCATAGTGACTCTGTGGGACAGAGTAGAATTGTCCACTGAAAATTGTTTTTAGAAGCAGACTGCCTCCTCTTCCTCCTGTGGAGTGACTGGCAGGTTCGAACCACTAACCTTTTGTTTAGCAACTGTGTGCATAGCTACTGTGCCACCAAAGCTCCTTTTGCACAGCTTACAGCCTTGGAAAACGTAAGGGGCAGTTCTCCTTTGCCCTATAGGGTAGCGATGAGTGAGAATCCACTTAATAGCAATGTTCCATTGTTTTAGCTTTTCCAGCAAAGAGAAAAGACCAGACCTCACAATGTAGCATTTGAGCTTCCTTTGGACTGATCCTAACCATTTCCCCATACCCTGCCACTCCACTTCACATGATCAGCTTCCTGAAACCTGCCCTGGACTTGCTTAGTTCCACATCTTTGTTCTGGGACCCCCACCCTCCATCTTTGCCTCTCTCTCAGCAACATCAGAGAGCACCTGTGTGTCTTCATGTGACCGTGACCCAGGGCCAGTTCTGATACATTCTTCATCTCCTTGGATAGGATAGACAGCTTGGCTTGTGTCTGCCTGCTCTCCCAGACTGTGGTAACTGAAACCTCTCCACCCACCATAGAGACTCTGCTTAATTTCAGAGGAAAATTTGGTCTGACTCTTCTGATAGAAAAATGCTGCCCCTGTCTTCAGCCACAGAAACCTGTAATCAAACTAAATAGTTCTTACCATGTAATTCCCAAGACTGTCTCCTTACTCTGGACAGAGAAGGCATTATTGGGTAAAGTTTGTTCACCAGAATTTTTCTTTAGATTTTGGTCTTTTTTTTTTTTTTTTTTTTTCTATCTTTTTAATCAAGAAAATCTTTCCTTATTTTTTTTACCAAAACAATGACATAGTCCTGAGACCCCATGGAGAGTTTGGGTAGCCCATCCCATGGCTGGTCAGAGCTGTCTGCCACCTGCATGTCCAGTTCCTGTCCCAGAGGGAACAGTGCTCATCAGCCTGGGCCTGCCTTCCAGGGGAGGTGGCCCTGCCTGGCCTTGGAGCAAGTATTGAGGTCACCTTCAGCTCTCTAAGCATGTCTGCAGAATCTGGGTGAGCTCCCCAGAGTTGGGCTTCTTTGGTTTTCTGAGTGTGATGAGACTGGGGTTGTTGATCAGAGTTTGCAGCAGGAGCCACCTCGTCCGCGACCGAGCTGAGACACGGGGACCTAGGAGAGAATTGGTGAAGACAGACTGGGGTGAAGCTGTTGGAAGAGCGTGGCAGAATGAGCTGGCTTGGGACTGCTAGAAACAGGGGAGAGGTCACAATGGGACATGAGGCTGTCCGGCAGGACTGTGTGTCTGCGGTGTTTGAGAACAGCAACGAAGACAGTTCAGGTGAGTGTCTGCAGACCAAGACAGGGCTCACTGGTGAATTGCCTAGCAGAGGTAGTGTATAGTAATGGGGTGGGAGGCGTGGGAATAGACTATGGAGCCCTGAGGAGTCAAGGAAGGTGTCTAGGGCATTTCAGTGATACCAGCGAGGCCCTGTCCAACCCCAGTGTAGGTCCAAACCCTAGACTTTACCTGCTGTTTGGTTTAGGTACCAGTATTTGATAACCTGCTTCAGCTTCCTTTCTCTGTGGCCAGTCACCAGGATATGACAAAAGCTGACAAGCACAGGGTTGGTGTGATAATGGTCCACGTAGAGCATGCCAATCCATGTTCTATACCCTGGGAAACAGAAAGGCCAGGCAACAGTTCTTCCCTGTCCCCTGTCCCGACTTCCCAGGATGGCCCAGTTTCTGCCTTTCAAGACCTAACTGCAGTGTCAGCCAGGGGCCAACAGGCACCTGGGGCTTTTCTGAGAAACTTAGAAAATGAGGTATAAAGAAGTGGAACCATTTTTAAAAATTAAATTCCAGTTCTTCCATTTTATGAGTAAACTGAAACTCAGAGGGGCTAAGCCAACTGCGGCTTATATGGAGGAGGTACTTAGTGCATAGATTGGACGAATGAGTAAATGGATGGGCCTGGGCTACAAACAGAACAAAACTACTTTTGCTTCCTCAAACTGGCTTTGATTGTGAATACCTCAACTAAGCAGACCATTTTCTTAATGAAACAAATTCCTAACTAATAATGCTAGTAATTCTGAGATGTGTTTTTTTTTTTTTTTTCTCATGCCTCTATGCAAAAAAAAACAACAACATTTTAAAAGCAGCTTATTAATAATTTGGAGTCTCTGGATGGGGCAAATGGTATGTACTCAGTTACTAAAAGGTTGGTAGTTCAAATCCACCCAGATACACCTCAGAAGAAAAACCTGAGGATCCATTTCCCAAACCGTAGCCATTGAGAACCCTATGGAGCACTTCTACTCTGGTACACATGGGCGGGGGAATGGGGGGGGGGCACGTTGCATTGAGTCAGAAGTGACTTGAAAGTAACTCGTTTGGATTTTGGTTTTTATTCATAAATTAACTTCCAGCTGTTCAGACGAACTGGTCAGCTACCTCTTTCTTACTGTCCCACTGTTAAATCTCAAAGGTTGGTCAAAAGTACCGGACTTTTCTACAGAGTAGTTTGAGCGCTCATCTGACCCCTGGGCTCCACATTCTTTCACTATCTTGACAGACTCCACAGGAGGATAAGCTCAGAGTATAAGGGGAGGATGTGAACTCACAGCCTCCCAGGCAACTTCCACATGGTTGGCAAGAACAGCCCTGCCCAGTGGCAAGCCCTTAGGGTTGGTCACCTACCCATGTCTGCTGTCTCATAGCCGCTCTGCATGATGGTTCTGTCGATGCGCGCAATCAGCCACGTGCCCAGCATGCAGCTGATGAACAGCCTGGAGAGGCACACACCCAAGCCCAGCAGCACGTTGTAGAAAAACAGGAAGTAGTTGAAGTTGTGGAATGCTTTCCTGCAAACAGAAGTCAGCACCAGGGCTGTGACCTCTCAGTAGGGCAAGGTGGCTCGGCAGGAAAACCCTGGAGTACCTCAGGTTCTACAGCAGATCCTGTCTCCTAGCTTTGTGACCCTGTGCTGTTAAGTGAGCACTGATTACACTACCCCAAGGCACTGCCACGAGGACTGGTCCTGCTGCAGGGGACAGAGTGCCGAGCAGGGTACAGTGGGGGGATTATAAATGTGTCAGATGGTGTTTGGGTTCTGAGGTTTCCTGTATAAAAAATCTCCCATGGCTACACCGGGTTTTGTGTCTCAAGCAGAGGTTGGGCTTTCCCACTGTCCACCTGCTTCCAGCTGGGGCTGTTCTATGGTCCTCCAGCATGAACTTCCCAAATCACTACCTGACCATGTCACTGCATTCTCCATTGGCTATGGGGACAGTCCCATGTTCTCATTCTGATTTTGCAGACCCTCTCTTATCAGGACCTTTCTGACCTTGTGCCTGCTCCCTGACCCTTACCAGCTAAAGCCACTGCATGGCACCATATTGGTCTTCTCCTAAGACATCCCGCCCTTTTGATCTTTCTTGCCTCCGTACCATAGTTGCAGCGACCAATATGTCCTCTTCCAGCTCTACCTGCAGAAATCCTGCCCAACCTACTGCCCTCACTGCCAGTCCTGCAACTGAATAAATCCCTTCTGTCTACAGGTGCTGTTACGAGGTTTGCACTTGACTCTTTTACATTGGTGGTTTATACTCACTCAATGGCACAGAAGAAGAAAGATCTGGCAACCTGTTTCTGTCAGAATTACAGCCAAGAAAACCCCAAGGCGCAGTTCTACTTTGTACCACGTGGAGTCGCCATGAGTTGGAACTGACTCAATGGAAATGAATTTGGATTTTGTTTGGTTTGTTTTTTGCCTCTTCTCTGCCACTCTCAGCTTCTCCATGATTTCTTCTGAAACAGTTTTGTACTCTATCGATTCTACTCTGCGTGTCTGACTTCTTCCATGGTTTGTGAGCTTCGGGCATAGGGCTTCTCTCTTTACCGTCAGTGCCTATGATGTTTCCTCAATGAGTGAATGACTTTGGACAAGTGAATTAGAAAGATTACCATGTAACAGACACTATTGTTCTAAGAACTTTTCATATTTAATCCATGTCATCCTCACAATACTTCACTGATATATGTACAACTATTTGTAAATTGGGGAAACAAGTTCATAGATGTTTAGTAACATCATCCAAGGTCACATAGCTTGTAAGTGATAGAGCCTGGATTTGGACGCAGGATTTGAACCGCTGCACTGCAGGTCCTCCCTGAGAGACCACTCAGGAACCTGCAGAGGATTAGTGGGTAGGAACAGAGACAGCCAAGGAAGAAGCCCTGTAGTTCCCCTTTCCCTCCCGTCCCCTCACCTGTTGTTGAGAGCCAAGGGCTTTTGTTTGTCAGCTGTGCCCATTTTTGGCTGCAGGAAAAAGCTGGCAGCAATCCATACTTGCAGGATCATGATACCCACAACGATGGATATGGTGAGGCTGAAACACAGGGTGGAATTGTCCTGAGGCCACCTATCATCCTGTAGTGGACATTTCCACTTTTACCTTCCTGCCCTCTCGCCCCAGGACAGAGGAGAGACATGTCACCTACCCATAGCTCTGTGCTTTACAGAGCACTCTCACACCCACTATGCAAAAAAGAAAGCTCACAAAGGGGAGGTGACATTCCCAAGGTGAAATGGTCAGCTCTTCTGGCTCTTTGTCCAGGAGTGGTAGCTGGGGCAAGCGGTTTAACAGTTGGGAATCAAAGAAAGGAATGGGATGTTCAGAAGTGCCCGAGAAAGCCACAGGAGATGGCAGGACAGCCAGTGACTTCAGGCAAGGAGGTCCCTTCCTAGGACAAATTGCTTCCCTGCTCTGTGTCTCTGTTCCATCTCCTGTGAATGGAGGCTAACAGAGCACTACCCTTAAATGGTTGTTAGAGAATAGGTGCATGGCACCTGCTTCGTGATGTCCTGGTATGGCGCTGTAGAATAAGCACTGGACTGCTGACCTCAAGGCAGGTCGTTCAAATTGAGCAGCTGCTGTGTGTTGCTATGAGTTGGAACCGACTCAGTGGCACTCATCAACAACAACCTGGGTTAGCTCAGGCTAGGGGAAGGGAAGCCACTTATCCAGTCACACAACAAGCCAGTATCCGATCTAAAACCAGAGCTCAGATTCCCTGATCCTTCTACCATACGGGCCTGTCTTTATTTCCCATCCGTAAAATGAGCAGATGTGTCTCCCCCAAAACAGTTGTGAGGGCCCCATGGAATGGTGGGTGAGGAAGCATTTTTGTAAGCTGCAAGTTTCTCTATCCAGTGAGTTGCTGTGATGAACCCTTCCTGGTCAGAACCTAGTGCACAGGCTCAGGGTTTGGGGAAAGCCCTACAGGGAAGGTGCACTTTCTGGAGCGAGGCTCCAGGGGCCCACCAGCTCCTAGGACCTGGTGAACGACAGGCAGTCACCAGCACTCACATCCCAATGCCCAGACTTTGCAGCATCGCCAGGCCTTGGTTGTGGACGATGGGCAGTACCAGGCTGTACATGATCACCATGCCGCACAGACTCTGCATCACGTGGATGATGAGGTAGCCTGTGGGCAGAAGGAGGCGTGGTTACTCCAACATGATCCAGAACTGTACCTTCCCCTACAGGGCACGCATCTCCTGTCTTGGTATGTTTGCTGATGGTACTTTCTCTGCCTGGCACGACACCCCTTCCTTCCTCTGATATTCCACTCACCCTCCCTGGTTCAGTTCTAATATCAACATCTCGGGCAAGCATCTGAGCTCTGCCCTGGGCATGGATAGACACTTCTTCCTCTGGGTCATCACTGCCCTTAGCACATAGGGCCTTGTGGACTCAGGACAGATGGGATGATGAGCTAACTGGGTATGTGCTCCCCCTCCATTCTGAAAGCCCCTCTAGGGCAGGGGCTAGGGTTGCATCTGACTCCCCTCTCCCCTCCCAGGTGCCCAGAGGTTGTGTGTTGACTGAGTGGGTCCAACAATGGTACTTACCCCACAGTATGTAGGCTATTTGCCACCCAGAATACCTTGCTATGGCCACCTGTGATTTAAAAAATAAAGGCAAGTTATGCTAATGGTGGTAGACTGAGATGCGGAAGTTTGAGAATGGTTGCACAGGTTGAAGAATGTAGTCAGTGTCACTGCATTGTATGTGTAGAAATTATTGAGATGGCATATGCTTTGCTAAGCATATTTTCATCACAATAAAATCGAAAATAAAATAAAAATGACGCAAAGGAAGAAGAAAAGGGGATCTCAGAAAGAAGCATATCTCTGCTCTCTCTAACACATCTGCCCAGCATTTCTGTTTCATTTGAAGTTCACCCACCGGCCCAGGGAAGCAGGTATGCAGTCGTCCTCATCCAACCGACAAGGAAACTGAAGGGTTGGATGGAGAACAGAACTTGCCCTGAGTCACAAAGCAGCAGACAGGACTGAGATGGAGGAGTCTGGACACCCCACCTGGGCACAGGAGAGCAGTGGGGGGCATTCTGCTCCCCTAAGACTTACCACACTCTCTGAAGAGGAAGGGTTGTGGAACCTCGAGGGAAGAAATTTTTTATTTCCTGACCACATCCTCTTTATGTGCTTTCTAGGGAAAATGGAGAACATAAAGTAAAGTTAAATAGCTACAATTTTTCATGCACAGAGTTCGTAGTTGTTGTTGTTAGGTGCTGTTGAGTCAGAGTTCAGTAGATATCAGCAGAAAGGTCTGGGGAGGGTGGTGGCACGTGGTTCATGTTGACTACAGCTCATGGGCACCAGAGACTTCTGATTTCCCTTAAAAACCTTCATTCAACTACTTCAATTCCTCTTTGTGAAAATAATTTATTAAAGTGAAGATGGTGATTGAATCTGGTAGGTAAGATTGTTGTTGTTGTTAAGTGCCGTCGAGTCGGTTCCGACCCATAGCGACCCTGTACAGGGTTTCCGAGGGTGTAAATCTTTACGGGAGTAGAAAGCCTCATCTTTCTCCCGCGGAGCGGCTGGTAGTTTCGAACCGCTGACCTTAAGGTTCGCAGCCCGATTCGTAACCACTACGCTACCAGAGCTCCTTACGTGTGGCCTTTATTTCCTCCATTCTTATTTGTATTTTCTATTTTTCTACAATGAATATGTGCGTCTGTACATACCATTTAAAAACAAAAAAACAATTTTATTGATAGCATCGCCTTAAACCACATGTTGTTGTTGTTGTTGGGTGCCATGGAGCCAATTTTGATTCATAGTGAATCCATGTGACAAGTAGAACTGCCTCGTAAGGGTTTCTAGGTTATCATCTTTATGGGTGCAGATGGCCGGTCTCTCTCCTACAGGGCCCCTGGGTGGGTTCAAACAGCTAACCTTTGGGTTAGCAGTCAATCACTTACCCAGAGTTTAACAAAACAAGGAACTTACAATCCTCCCCCTCTGACAAATCAACTGCAGTCCTTTCCATGTTTGAGTTCAGTTTTTGGACCGATGCATAAACCTTATGTTTATAGAGTTATTGTAATAGTCTATAATCATGTTTGCATCCACTTTTTATTTCTTACATGTTATCTCCTACATTTTTTCCATTTGTTTTCAATTTGCATGACCAAAGCTTGTAATGGCAGATCTTGACATCCATTAGAGAGACCCGGTGTGTACAGAAAATAGCAAAGTCTGGACTCAGGAAGACTCACTCTGTCCTAATTACTTGAGAAAGATATATAACTGTGTAGAGTTTCTACTTCCTCAGCTGTAAAAATGCAGATGACGATAGCTATCCCTTGGAGTCCTGGTATAGCTCTGAAGGATACTGCACTGGACCACAAGGTCAGTTGGAACCACAGGCTGGCGATTCAGACACCTCAGAAACCTTATGCAGGGTTGTTATGAGTTGGAACCGACTCGACGGCACTTAACAACAACAACATACTTAATCCTCAAATGAAGACTCAAAGCATGACATCTGGCTCATTGAAAAGTTTAACTCAGTAGGTTTTTCTTCCTACCAATAAAGGTGGCTGTCCCTAAGTCCATACTGGGCACTTATGGTACCACTTGGGAATTCTGATAATAGCCTGGCAGATAGATACCTTCTTACCTGTAGCAGGCCAAAATGTGGAACAGATAGTTCACACACGTGAGGGAGGCAGGCACAGTAGTCACCACCCAAACTCCTGAAATAGAAAAGGCAATATGAGAGGTCTCAGGAAATAAACCAGAAATAGTATTGTTGAAACATTTCCCACATTAGAAAGGCCTACGTAGAATATAGACATGAACAAAATGAGGAAATCAACACAGATAGACATTATGTAAAAAGGAACCAAGTAATGACTGGAGCTAAAAAATACAATAACTGAAAAAAAAAAAAAAAAAATCCACAGGAGAAGCTCAACTATGGAAAACAGTATGGCGGTTCCTCTGAAAGTTCAACATAAAATGTTCATGGGGTTGTTGTTGTTGTTGTTGTTGTTAAGTGCCGTTGAGTTGGTTCAGACTCATAGTGACCCTACCCTGCAAGGGGTTTCTGAGGAGGGGCTGGTGGGTTTAAACCAGTCTACTGCATACCTCACAGTGGCACACCAGGCAACCCCACTCTTAGATATATACTTGTATACCCTCAAACTTGACAGCAAGGACTCAACCAGCTACTTGAGCACTGTCCTTTGTAGCATGATTCACAATAGCAAAAGGTGGAAATAACCTAAGTGTCCCTCAACAGATGACTGGATAAACAAAATGTGCTATATGTACACAATGGACTATTATTCAGTCATCAAGAGAAACGAAGTTCTGAGACATGCTACTACATGGATGCTGAGAGAAACAAGTGAGACACAAAGCAACAAAGAGTGTATGATCTCGCCTACATGCAACATGTAGGACAGGCAAGTGCTGGGAGAGGAAAGTGTATTCGTGGCTCCTGGGGGCTGGGGAGGGAGGCCTGGGTACTGAGCTTCTGTTTAGGATGAAGGCAAGTATCAGTGATAGTTGCACGGCATAGTGAAGGCAGTGAAGGCCACTGAATCATATACTTCAAAATGGCCAATGTTTTGCTATATACATTTAACCACAATAACAATTTGAAAAGTAATAAAATACTTAAGAAAAAATTTGTCTAAAGAAGTACAATACTTATACACTGGAAACTGCAAATGTTGTAGAAATAGATGAAAAAAGGTAAATAAATGGAAATATAACCCATAGATAGGATGGAAGGAAATGTTTGCAAATCATATACCTGCTAAGGGACTTGTATGTAGAATATATAAAGAATTCTTGCAACCCAATAATAAAAAAGACATACTTCAATTAAAAAGGCTTTACCTTTAGTCACATTGATCAGCTCTTTTATGCGCCAACTGACTGAGGTCAGCATCTCAGTGTCATTCAAGGAGCCGATGTAGGTCTCCAGATGGCCTTCAAATGTGTCAAGCTCCTCTCTCACATACACAAATACGCAGAACTCAATGACAATGAACTGAAGACACAAAGCAAAGGTTTCAAAATGTTACCTGAGTCCAGCTTGGTTTGTGAACAGCATGCAGATCTCTCAGAGGTTCAGAAGCTAGTCTTTCCCTCAGTTATTCAAAACTCTTCTGAGTTGACTCTGGACACTGTCTTTTGTGAACTAGATTATGAGTTTTTGGAGACAGGACTCACCTCATACTCAATTCTTCAACCATAGCAAACAAGTGCAGGCTCTACAAAGTCTCAAGGAACTTTTCAAGCATTAATAAATCAGAGTAAAATGAGAGTAAGGGGTGACTTTGAAGATGATGTCAGGTACTTGATATCATGTCTCCTTCTCTTAGACTGTGAGTTTTTCCCAAGCTAGGATTCTACTGAATCCTACCTGGGAAATTGGCTTTACTAGTAATATTTACTTTGACAGCCAAAGTATTCTGGAGTCAAGATGGTGGGGTCAAAGTGTCTCCTTTTTTGATTGTCAGAAATTCAGTTTTGACCCAGCTTTTGAGGAACTTGCTGCTTGTGTATAAGATCCCACAAACTCCTGACCCATCCCATTCATGACATAGAAAAGGATTTTCTCAGAGGTACTTACAAGGTATAGGCAAATGAAAGCCAGCACAGTGGTTCCGATCATTCTGCTGGGGAACTGAAAGCGGGGGTCCCACTCATATATCCTGGTTTGAAACCAAGACTTTTCTTTCTCTCTGGTAGGTAAACAAATGTCCAGTTCATCACAAAATAACACCATCTCCTCTTCTTCATCACAGAATTTAAAGTTAGGAAAGAGCCCCTTCGTTTTTCATGCATTCCTTTTCCTTAACACTGTTCAATTTGACTCAGTGCAGCAATTCACCAAATCCAAGACTATAGTTCCTAAACTCTCCTGCAACTAAGAGTGGCCAGACAAAGTTTAGGCCCATTAGATGTGAGCAGCTGTATAGTGTAGGATTTTGAGAAGCTGCATAGATGGATCTAACACAGTGCTGGGAACCCTTTGTCCTTTTTTTCCTTTTTCCTGGTGTCTAAAATACAGATATGATGTGGTGGTAGGTCCAGCAGCCATTGGGACCATGTGATAGCCTTGAGGATGGAAACCATGTACTAAATATTGGAGCAGAAAGATGGTCACTGAAATGCCATTGCAGATAGACCTGGGAGATCTTTTAGATGACAAAGATTTTTTTTTTTCCTTTTCTGTGACACTATGTAGGGTTTTCTGTTCTATGTGAACCAGTCTAATCCTAACGAAAGTACTGGCATTTCCAAGGAATCGCTGTGTGACTTTGGATAAGACGTACCCAATCTCTGGGACTATCCCGATGTATACAGTGACATAGGCATAAATGCTGGCATTTGTCCTTTTCCATCCATATCCTCTTTTATTGGTAACAGCAGCTACAGTTTTCTTTGGGGGAAATATCCTTCCCTTCCCCTTGCTCCATGTGGTTAATTAAGTGAGGCTGACACCACTTCCTGGCTCTCACAGTAAGCATGTGACCCAGGCTTAGCCAATCAGTTTGCTCCACTCCCTTGGCCATGGGGATTGGTTCTAGAGTGTCATGTGGTCCAATGAAACTCATTCCTGGCACTTTAGATTGAATAACTGGGAAGGATAATTTCTTTTTCCCCTGAGCTTGAAGCTAGGAGAATATAAGTTTAGAGATTTGGGGATTCCTCATGTGAAGAAAGTTCATCTAACTATGAGGCCAACACAGAGAAAGGCAGAGTTGAGAGATCTAGAGAAATCTGATGACATCCCCTAAGTCCCTAGATCAGCTATACCTGAAACCAAACTTCCTCTAGACTTTTCAGTTATGTGAGCCCATAAATTTCCCTTTTCTATTTAAATTTGAGGAGTTTCTGTCATTAGGGTACACAAGAGTCCTGGCTGATATAGTGTCCTCCAGCCATCTTGGGTCTGTCACATTGTCAGGGCTCGTTAGTATTGTTGCAAAGACTGAGGGAGAATGAATATAACTGCGGCTTACTGTAGAGGGGGCTTCCTCAGGAGCTGTTTGACGTGCTCTGCCTGGTGAGCTTCCAGGAAAGGCTTTTCTTCCTGTGAGAAAGGAGAGAGGTGTATGCTTTGGTTCACGAATTCTGATTAGGGTTTGTTCTCTGAGAAGAGCTAGAACAACAAATGGTATAAATCTGGGCAAAAGTTGTTCTATTCTATTTGAAAGAAGAACCTGGGCCAGTTTCTTGTTTACCAAGAGCTTTGTTTGTTTGTTTTTTACAAAGTATCAGAGGTCTGACTTCAGTGTTCCCTTTACTGATTGCACCCGTCATTGCTTTGTGGAGTCCTTTTCCCCTTAGAGGTCTGGTGATTTGCCTCAATATTTCAAACCACTGGTTGAAAAATGAAACCCCCAGGATCCTAGTGTTTTTACTTTTTAAAACTTTTTATTGCAAATGGGTGAAGGCTTACAGAGCAGATCAGTTTTCCACTCAACAATCATACAAATTTTGTTTCATCTTACTGATTGCTGGTTTTACTTTTTATAAAGAGGAATTTCTCTTGCTCATTTAAAATTTTTTCTGCATTAAAAAAAAAAAAAGAAAAGAAACCTTAATGGTTGATTATGAAATGTTTTCTCCAAGTACCATGTCATCATCTATCATGCTACATATATTTGAGTATGCAAATTTTACATGTTATAAGATAAAATCTGGTTATCCTGGATGTTGATGTACCATTGAGTTGGTTCTGACTCATAGTGCCCCTGCTTGCAGCTGCAAATATTTATGGGAGCAGAATGCCTCATCTTTCTCCCTCAAAGGAGCTGGTGAATTCACACTGCTGACCTCCTGGTTAGCAGCCCAGCACATCATCCACTATACCACAAGGGTTCCTAGGTAGAATTCAAGAATCTGGCCAAAGTCCTGATTGGCTACTCATAACTGCATGCCTCAGCCAAGTTATACGTCTTCCCCTCAGATCCCTCAAGAGCGAATGGGGGAAGCAACAGTACTTACTTCTAAAGTTCAAACCCACCAGCTGCTCCTCAGAAAGCGTATATAGGGTCGCAATGTGTCAGAACCGACTTGACGGCACTTGACAACAACAACTTCCAAACTTTATTATGAAGAAGAAACAAGATAATATTTATAAAGTGCTGTGCATAGTGCCTGCCCAGGAGTTACGATATTTATTCATATAATGAAGGAAGATTTTCCTTTTCTTCAACTGGAGTCCCTGGGTGGTACAGATGCTTACTTAATATACTTAGCTTTTAACAGAAAGTCCACTCAGAGGCACCTTGGAAGAAAGGCTTACTTCCAAGAAATCAACTACTGGAAACTCCATGGAACACACTTCTACTCTGACACACTTGGGGTCGCCATGAGTTACAATTGACTTGTAGGTAATGGGTATTGCTTTTTCTTCAATTGCTAGTAATGGTGTTCAAAATGGCCTTTTTTCCTTAAAGGAAAAAACATCTATTTGGATCAACTTTTTATATTTTGTGAGAAACTCCTCATCAGGTACTACAATTGGTGTAAATACAGTACGAGTTCATGGTGGTGGTGGTTATGGGCTGTGGAGTCAGTTCCGACTCAGCGACCCTGTATAAGGTTGCTGAGGCTGTAAATCTTTTACGGGAACAGAAAGCTTCAGCTTTCTCCTGTGGAACAGCTGGTAGTTTCAAACTGCTGACCTTGAGGTTAGCAGCCTAACTCATAACCACTACACTACCAGAGCTCCTTAATAAGAGTTCATTTACATATTCAAATTTGAAAAGTTTTGAAGCTATGTGAAATAACCGGAACATCTTAGGGTTACTTTTGTTTGTTTTTAAGCACTTGCATGGTTCATCACCTCCAGATTCTGGGCAGTGGGGCTATTCACAAATATTCTGGTTACCCTTCCTGGGAATACATCGGAGAACTGCATTCTCCCCACTTGAAAGTGGGTGTAGCCAGGTGACTTGCTTTGGCCAATGGAGTCTGAGTGGAAGTACATCCTGGTGGTAGCTTTAAATGTATGTCACCATGTGATTTGTCTAGTTCCATGTCCATCAGTAATGTTCCTGATGGTGGCTGCTCCATTGACATGCAGAGTGAGGAGAACATGGAATGGTACCTCAGCACACCATGATGGTCATGTAACCACAGTGAAAAATAAAACTTCATCATGTTAAGTCACTGAGATGTAGAACTCTTTGTTACTACAACAAAACCTTGCATGTCTTGACTGTTACATATGTTCATTTTGAAAAAATTAGCAACCAAAGGCCACTGCCATTAAGAAGATTCCAACCCCCAGTGATCCTATAGGACAGCATAGAATTGCTCTTTGGGGTTTCCAAGGCTGTAAATCTTTCCTGAAGCAGACTGTCTCATCTTTCTCCCACAGAGTGACTAGTGAGTTTCAATCACCAATCTTACGGTTGACAGTCCAATGCCTAACCCACTGTGCCACCTGTATCCTTAAGGTCATCTAAGTACAAGAAAAGCTCAGGTCAGAAAAATAAACTCATCAGCACTTCAGACTCAGCTGATACATAGACCAAAGCTCATATGTGTCATGGAGAGCGGCAATGAACCCCAGAGGCCTAAAGTTCATGCGTGTCATGTAGACCCTGGTGTGTTGACAATGAGGTGTGGAGAACAGAGACAGGGCACTCCTGGCCCCATGCTGACCTCAAACTTGGAGTCATTTGCCCTCATCCAGTAATGTTCTGGACAACGGCTGATCTGTTAGGCTGCCATGTGGAGTGAGGAGAGCCTGGAACTGTACACTAGGCAGACCCAGGATGGTCAGAGAGTCTGTGCAGTATAGCGGGTAAGAGTGAGTCTAGACAGCCAAACTACCTGGGTTCAAATTCTGGCTCTGCTATAGACTACTTGGATGTATTTGGGCAACTCAACTCCCCTTTCTTGGTCCCAGATTCCTAGTCCAGATGTGGCAATTAATAATACTAGTACCGACTACCCGAGGCTCTTGTCAGGATGGACAGAGTGCTCAGAACTTGTACTCACAGCCTGAAGCTCCCAGCCCAGGTGGACCCTCACAGACTTGATGAACATGTGCATGAAGCGTCCCAGCAGGAAGGCGAGGCACAGCAGTGAGGGCCAGTAGAACACGACATTCTCGTACCTCCCCACATACTGCAACAGAAACAGACCACAGGCTGTGGGCAGGGCAGGGGCCAGAGCCTCTTGTGCATATTTAGTGAAGCTGTGGACTTCTCTTCCTGCCCAGTCTGTCCCCAGAAAAACCTCGTCTCTAAGTGCTCACCCAGGCCTGGCCTCAAATCCCAAGTCCTCCACTACTTCAGAGTTACTTGATCGACTTGGACCTCAGTTTCCTCAACTATAAAAATAGGTTTCATGATACCCTCCCCATATTGTAGGGCTTCTGTGAGCATCAAATGTCTATGAATGAGCATGCCAATGAACACACAAGCGAATAATCATAATGACTTCAACACCATTTTTTCGTTTGTTTAAAACAAAAACAAATGAGGAAGCTGAGGTCTAGAGATGGACAGAGGCTTGCTGGAGGTCACATGATGAGTTGGCCATGGTGATAGGACATACACACCCAAAACACAGCTCACCTGGACTCACCTGCCCATGGGGACATTGTATGATATAAAGTATGGTGACAGAAAACCTGAAAAACAGAAATAGGACGTGGGCCACTTAGGATTCCCTCCCTGCACAGTATCAGGAACTCAAACCCAAACCCACTGGCGTTAAGCCGTATTCCAACGCAGAGCAACACGAAAGTGCAGAGTAGAACTGCCCCATTAAGTTTCTAAAGCTGCAAGTCTTTACAGAAGTAGACTGCCATACCTTTCTTCTGCGGAGCATCAGTGGTGTGTTCGAACCACTGACTTTTCGGTTAGCAGTCAAGTGCTTAACCGCTCTGCCAGGTACTGGGAATAGTCTCTATGAAAATAGCTCAGATGCCATCATCCTGAGCTTCCTCCTGCATCCCTTCCCCTAGGAAGGACGAGTTCCCAGGCCTCAGTGTACCTCGGGCCCAGATCACTCACTCCATAAACCCTCCCTTCCCTCGAGGTTCAGGTGGGGAGTTGGGATTCCAGAGAGGGGAAAGAACAAGTCCAGAGCTCCACATAGAAGCACTGGCAGAGCCAGAGCTAACTCCCAGGCCTCCTGACTCTAGCCAACTTTCTCTCTGCTTCTACCCAAGCTTTTCTGTAAGCACTGAGCAAAAGTACTGCACCCCAATCCTTCACCCGTGTTTGATAGTCATTCCAGTCCTGGTCACATTTGGGTCTGACTCTCATTGTACCCATATGGTTCTGAACAATTCCCAGCACCCTTTCTCTCCTGTCAAGAAACCTGTCAGAACTTGAAGAAATGAACTGGCTGGAGAACCTCTCTTAATTTTTGAAACCAAACCATTTCTGTTTTGGAAACAGCAATTGTACAACATTGTGACTATAAATAATGTCACTGAATACTTAAAATGGTAGGTTTTATGTTATAGATGGATTTCCACAATAAAAAGAATGAAAGTTAAAAAAAAAAAAAAGAATGAAAGTATAAGAAAACCACTTACACATTTTGGAAGTATAATCATTGATGTATCATTTGCTTGTGAGACACTTGTCATTGTCCCTGACAGACTGCAGTGGCCCCACACTGGACCCTTCCTCATAGAAAATACTGGAAGGGTAGAACAGGATCAGCAAAGGGGTTGGGTGCCAGGAAATGAGCCTCAGGGGTTGCAGAGTAGAATTGGCCATGTGATTATTCAGTCACAAATATTCCTTAGGGCCAGATCTGTGTGGCTCAGTGTCAGGCACTGAACTGTGCAAAGACCTGGAGTTAGAACACTTAAAGGAAAGAACATGCTCAGCATTTCTCAAGTTGAAAGAACTGAAGAAAAAATTCAAGCTTCAACTTGCATTGAAATGAAATATTGAATGAAAGCATCAAAAGAAGATGGAAGGGAGAATTGATTGCGGAAGAAAGAGCAGGAGTGTGGTGTGAACATGGGGAAGCAAAAGAAAACAAGGAAATATGAGACCATGAAGCGAATGCTTAGTCTCAGAGATCAGTGGCTTAAAGAAAAAGATAGGTTAAAACCTAAAAAGAAAGAAAAGACAGATCCCAGCGCACTCAAGGAAAGAGAAGTCCCCCAACACCCTTCCTGTTTGTTCTTCCAATATAACACAGCTGGGCCCACCTTACCACATCCTGGTTGATACCAAGTTTATCAACTTCCCATTAAAGCCAAACTGGACCTTGTACAATCGATGATGGACTGTCTGTATACCAAGTGAGTTCCTTGTATAATTGACTGTGTACTGGCTGAAATTGAGAAGTTGGGGCAGAAGTATCGAGTGGCTCTAAGGATTGTCAAGGATTCAAGATTTGAACGACTACCATGGACACACAAAGGAACCTACGCAGATGACTGCTTAGTACAGAGAGTAACTCAGCACAAGTGTTACATTGTGGCCACAGTTGACCGGGACCTTAAACGAAGAATCCAGAAGATCCCTGGAGTTCCTATCATGTACATTTCTAACCATAGGTACAACATTGAGAGGATGCCAGATGATTATGGAGCCCCGCGGTTTTGATTCTTACAAGACAAAGTTCATCTGTCTTACTTCAACTGCCTTTCTCTCATTCCAGTTCAGTAAACATGCTATTTTATTGTTTAAAAAAAAAAGAAGATGGAAGGTATACACAGAGTCACTGAACCAAAAAGAAATGGCCATTGTTCAACCATTTCAAGAGGCAGCATAGGATCAAGAACCAATGGTACTGAAGGGAGAAGTCCAAACTGTACTGAAGGTCTTGGCAAAAAACACGGCTTCAAGAATTGACAGGATACAAAATGAAATCTTTCAGCAAACTGATGCAGCCCTGGAGGAGTTCACTTATGTATGCCAAGAAATTTGGCCGAAGAATGGGAAGAGATCCATGTTTTCCCCTCCCAAAGAGAAGTGACCCAATGGAATGCAGAAATCGTCTAACAATATCATTACTATCACATATAAATAACATTATGTTGTACGATTCAAAAATGGCTGCAACAAGTGACACCAGAGATGGAGGCAGAGACAATGACGTGAAGAGATGGAGTGGCTGGGAAATCTGGACTCAAGAAGGGGGAGGGGCTGTATGTTGGCAGTGGGGGCCAGGGTAGGCTTGCAGGGTATACCGTTTGTTTGTTTGAATGGTTATATGTTCCTGAGTGCTTTAGTGTACATAAAAAACAACAACAACAACAACAACAAAAACAAAACCCAGAGGGACTAGAAGCAAATGCTGTTGAATGATGATGCATGGAGGGGATGGTAATCATTGCAATGAAACAAAATATGATAGGATGAATGTCAAGCTGATATTCTCCCATGAAACTATCACTCAATTCACAATAAAACCTTAACAAAAATTAAAATGGCTGCAACAGTACATCAATAAGGAACTACCAGAAAATCTAGCCAGATTCAGACGAGGACGTGGAATGAGGAATATCATTACTGATGTCAGATGAATCTTGGCTGAATGTAGAGAATACCAGAAAAATGTTTATTTGTGCTTTATGGATTATGCAAAGATTTTTGACTATGTGGATCATGACAAGTTACAGATAACATTGGGAAAAATGGGTATTCCAGAACATGTGATTATGCTCCTGAGAAACCTGTACACAAACCTCTTCTTAGTCATTCAGACAGAACCAGGTGATACTGACTAGTTTAAAATCAGAAAAGGTGTACACTAGAGCTGTGTTCTTTCACCATACTTATTCAATCTGCATGCTGAGCAAATAATCCAAGAAACTGGATTATATGAAGAAGTAAGTGGCATTATGATTGGAGGAAGACTCAGTGACAGCCTGTGATATGCAGATGATACAACCTTGCTTTCTGCAAGTGAAGAGGACTTAAAATACTACTGATGAAGATCAAAGATTACATTCTTCAGTATGGGTTGCACCTCAATGTAAAGAAAACAAAAATCCTCACAACTGGACAACTAAACAACATCATGATACATGGGGAACAGATTGAAGTTATCAAAGACTTCAGTTTGCTCACATCAACCATCAACACTCATGGAAGCAGCAGTCAAGAAATTAAACGACGTATTGCATTAGGCAAATCTGTTGCACAGGACTTCCTTAAAGTGCTCAAGAACAAAGATGTAAGTTTGAGAACTAAGGTGTGCCTGACCCAAGCCATGCTATTTTCAATGACCTCATATGCTTGTGAAAGTTGGACAATGAATAAGGAAGATCGTTGAAGAATTGATGCATTTGAGTTATGGTTTTGGAGGAGAATATTGAGAGTACCATGGACTGTCAGAACAAACCAGTCTGTGTTGGAAGAAGTACAGCCAGAATGTTCCATAGATCTCATACTTCAGACATATTATTAGGAGGGAACAATCCCTGAAGAAGGACATTATGCTTAGTAACATGGAGGATTAGTGAAAAAGAGGGAGACCCCAACAAGATGGATCAGCACAGTGGCAGCAGAGATGGGCTGAAGCATAACAACAATTGTGAGGATGGTGCACAATTGGGCAGTGTTTTGTTCTGTTGTGCGTGGGGTTGCTATGAGTCAAGCCAACTCTATGACACCTAACAATAACAGCAGTCTATAGACAAAGACCCCAGAATGCATGTTCCATTAAAGCTCTGTTGTGTTTTCCAGTGTGTCTCTTGGCTGAGAGTAGAGATGTTCTTTGTTTGTTGAATGAATAAGTGGTTGGATGAATGAACATAGGAGTAGAATGTCTGGAGGCATGTACTAGAGACAGGTAGAAGGTGGACAGACAGAGAGTGGTCAGACTCTGAAGGGCCCTGAATACCAAACTAAGACAGGTGTCTTCCTTCTGAGATCCAAGAGAAGCAATGACTGTTAAGCAGAAGCATCCACTGAGATTCCTACTTCTCCCTGGGAGAGCCTTGACAGTTTACAGAAACATATTTTTCTAATTGTGGCTTCTGGGAGATGCCTTCAGGAGACATCTCATGCAAAGCAGATAAATGCTGGCCTAACCTTTTGAAATCTTAAGTGCAGGCTGCAATGGGACCTTGGACAAGTCACCCCCTGGCCACCTTGGGCAAAATGCCCTCCTCAGAGAGCTGTCAGGTCACTTCCAGTCCTTTGTCCAGAATTTAGTCACAGGCAAGCAGGCATAGGAGCCAGATAGGCACAATACTTCTTACCATATGAGAGAGTAGCTGAAGCCGAGGATGGCGCTGACCAGCCGGAACTCCGATGAAAGGCAGGCAAAGAAGGGGAAATGGGACAGGCCGACTTCTATGCCTCCAATCAGAAGCACAAGGGCTGCAGGAGACAGGGCCAGAGAGGCTCTGATTCCCCTTCTCACCTGGGCTCAGGGGATTTCTGGAAGGCTTTGGGAACTCATGCTCTTTAAACTATCCCAGAACGTATAAGGAGAAGGAAAGCCTTCAAACGGATTCTATTGCATGGATATAACATTGATTCCAATACGATCTATGGAAGCTGTTGTTTAGTACCATGGTGTCAGTTCCTACTCATAGTAACCCTGCACAGGATTTCCAAGGCAGTAAATCTTTATGGGAGCAGAAAGCCCCATCTTTCTCCGTGGAACAGCTGGTAGTTTCGAACTGCCTACCTTGAAGTCAGCAGCCCTATTAGTAACCACTACACTACCAGAGTTCCTATAGAAGTTAGTTCAATAAAAAAAAATTCATGTCAATCTCATTTATGAATATTGATTAAGAAATCTTAAAATATTAGCAAACAACACCCAAGAACATATTAGGAAACAAAATATATCTTAACCACATAGTCTATTCCAGAAATACAGAGGAAGTTCAATGTGAGGAAATGCATTCATATAATCTATCTTGTGAATGGAATAGATTTAAGGAGAGAAATCATATGATGGTCTCCAGAGAGACGTATGTTTCATTATCTTCACTGTAGCAATAGTTCATGGGTGTAAACATGTGTCAAAAATGACAAATATAGAAAAGTACTGTATACTTCTAAGAGGTGTATGAGCCCTGGTGTGGCGCTGGACTGGTAACCCACCAGCTGCTCTCAGAAATCCTACACAGGGTCGCAATGAGTCAGAATTGACTTGATGGCACACAACAACAAGAAGAGGTGTATAGTGGCGTGTCATTGTGGTTTCAGTTTGCATTTCCTGATTCTAGGCCTCATCGATGTCAAGAAGACAGCCATGGCTATGACTCAGAAGAACTTTTTAGAATGGTTGACTTTTGATCCTTTGTCTCAGAATGTCTACAAGGACCTCTGAGAGCCCCACAAATAAGCTTTGAGGCTCTGTGGATTAAACATTGAATTTAGGCGAGGAATAAGCTGAAAAGAACATTGACAGTTCTCACAGTTAATGCCCTGATCCCAGGGAAAACCTGGCATAGGATATCTGAGAGCAAAAACCCCATAGTGAAATTTCCAGCAGGTGAGAAGCAGCCTTTGTACCTTGGGCCCACTGCGGGACCTGTAGGGGCTGGTAGCCTTCTGAGAACAAGAACATGATCTTATTGGCTGTGGCCCCAAAGGCAATTCCATAGGACCATCGGTTACTAAATGTGCCCACGAAGTCCAGCGGCCTGTGAATAGTAAAAAACGTTTATGAGCCTAGAAGGTGACTCTGAAATAGTCTCACAGTTCATCTTCAAAGTAGCAATCCCACCCTCAGGTGGATAATTGAGTGGGGTTCAACAGACATTTCCTGAGTCCCAGGGCACTAAAGTGAGGAAGACAAAATGCTTGCCCTTGAGGAGCTTCATGTGTAGTGGGAGACACATGTAGTCATGATGGAAAGCAAAATGGAATGAACTCCATCTATAAGAACTCCATCTCTCTAGGTGTACTACAACAAGGAGTAAGGCCCAGACAGGTTTGGGAGAGCCTGCCCTGCACTCAGTCACATTCAGTGAGATTTATTCCTTCCAAGATTCCTGAGGAACTTCTAGGTATCTGTACCATGGGAATCATGCTTTCTTGGCCACAGCTGATTGGGCTATGGGTGACCACCTGATTTTGCATGGGCCAGTCAGATGTCTGTCACATATTTTGAATTTATAATCCTGAGGACCTGAGTCAGTTAGCTGCAGAATTTTGGTTTAAAAAGTCATGCCAAGTTGGGAACTAGTCAGTGCTAGAGACAAGCTGAGGTTCTAAGGAAGCAGACATCCTAGGTCAGATGATACAGTCAGACAGAGAGAATAATGGGGAAATGGTGCTGAGGGGAGTTTGATGACATACAGTAAGAGTCAATCTCCCATAAACTCCCATAATCTCAGGCTGCAGTTCCCATGAGGCCTGCTTTGCTGGTTTACATGACATCCAAATAACTTTAAAGAGAATTCTTTCTTTTTTCCTTTTATGTAAACAACTTGAGCAACTATGTGTTTTTTATAACCAAGAGAACTCTGACTGTATCAAAGTAAGTAACTGTACTTGGGAAAAGGCTTCTCAATGAAGTAGCATTTGAGCCAGACCTTAAAAAAAAAAAAGGACAAAAGACCAAAGAAAAGAACTGAGGATGGCAGTGGGAAGGGAGAGCAGAGCATCGCAGGCAGGAGCATGGATCTCACCTCCTCTTCCATATGGCTGCTCTCCTCACCTTCAAAACTTCACTCAAAGAGCTCCTCTTCTAAGACACCTACCCAGTGGTGGCTTCTAACCAGGCACACTGAATCACTACTTCACTTGTGTCCCCTCAGCACTAAGTTCATGTCCCCGTTTCTGCACACCTCCTTTTGGATATGGCTTGTTTAGTAAACTATAAATTCCTCTGGGATGGGGACCTAGCCCAGTGCTGTGCAAAGATACATGTTTGAAGCAATGCATTGACTGAATTGAGTTGAATTTTAATCAAGACCTTAACTGTAGTGGCCGTGGGCGCCCCCTCAACTCACATGATGATGCTAAAGTGGTTCCCCAGGAGGTAGGAAGTATCATCTCTCTTTCTACAATGCTCTCGTCTTTGGAGGAAGGACAGGACCAAAATAATGAAAACCTACAGGAAGAGAAGATGAGAGGGTTGATGGGAATGTTCATTCTCAGCACAGACTAGCTGCAAGAGAATGTGTGGGTAAGTAGAGCGCTCAGAACAACTACAATTCCTCTAGTTCTAGGACCTATGTTCCTCATAGTTAAGTCCAAGGGCCACTCCTCTCCTTACCTGATCTTCTCTTCTTAGGTGATGTCCTCCATGCCCACACTTTTAATGACAGAACACTCACAGACTTGAACCTCCATCCAAGATCTGACTCATGAGTTTCAGAACTGTATACTCACCTATCAAAAAACCTTCACTGCCATCAAGTTGATTCCAAATCATTCCAACCCTCTAGGACAGAGCAGAACTGCTCCTTAGGGTTTCTGAGACTGTAAATCTTTACGAGAACAGACAACCTCATACTTCTTCTGAGGAATGACTAGTGAGTTTGAACAGCTGACCAACACTTAACCCACCATGCTGCGGGGACTCCTTATACCTAACGACATAGTTGACATTTCTTTTTGATGTGAATTTGAATATGAAGACTTCTCAAATTCAATGTATCAAAAATGGAGCTCATGATTTTACTGCTGGCCCTGTCCCTTCATTTACCCCAAATCTGATCTCTTCTAATTTCCCTTGGTGCTGTAGGATAAGCACTGGACTGCTAACAAAAGGTCAGTGGTTCAAACCCACCAGTTGCTGCTTAAAAACCCTATACAGCGTCATTATGAGTCAGAACTGACTTGACAGCAGTTAACAACATAACAACAGCAGTGAATGGTAGGTTCTATTATTCTTCCAGTGGCACAAGTCAGAAACCCGAGTCATCATCAGCGTCTCCCTCTCCACAACCTCCTCTATCTAACCAACACCAAATCCTTTGTTAACCTCCTGAATATCTCAAGTTGCCCAGCATCCACTGGGAGCTGAACTCCTCTCTCACCCAGACCTCTGCATGTGCAGTAGTCTCCTTGGCCTTCCTTCAACCTGACATACACATTGCAGCCAGAGTGGTGTTTTAAAACCATAAATCTGATCATGCCACCCTCATGCCCAAAACACTTCAATGACTTTCCACTGTGCTTAGAAGGAAGACAAAATTCCTTACCAGAGCCTACAGGGAGTTCAAAGGCTCCATAGAGGAAGCACTGAACTATGAGCCAAGGTTGGCAGTTTGAGCCTACTAGCTACTCCATGGGCAAAAAAATGAGGCTTTCTGCTCTCAAAAAAATTTAAAGTCTCGGAAACCTTATCCAGGGTTGCCATGAGTTGAAACCAACTCCACAGCACGTAATAACAACAGGACTCTCTGCCTAATCTGACATGCCCATTTCCACCTGAATTCCCACTCCAGCCTAACTGGTTTTTTGCCAGTTCCTTGCACCCCTCATAGGCCCTCTCTCTACAGAACTGTGACATGTCCTTTCCCCTCTGCCTGAAAACACACTTTATTCCTCCCTTTACCTAGTTAACTTCAAATCTCCCACCAGACTTCCACTGAATCATGACTTCCTCAAAGAGCCTTTTGATAGACATCCTTATAAGCCACTGTCCTTGACTCCTGGGTCTTTAAAAGTCTCCTTCACAGGCTGACTGGAGCTAATACCTGGCTTTGTGTTTGATAACTCGTCTACATCACACTAAGCCAAGGAAGCAAGTCAAAGCTTTTGAAGGAAACTCAGTTGATGTCTCTCGGCTAACCTATTCCATACTCTTTGGGACCCTGGCTGTGGGAGTAGCCCAGCTTCCTTTCCTCCCTCCCTTCAGCCTTCCCCTCCCTTTACTTACTGATGGGATGAGGGAGTAGTGGAGGAAACGCTCCATATCCAATGGGCTGACACAGGTGCTGTTTAGCTCCCTGGTTCTGAAAAAAAGAGGCCAGAAAACAATATTTACATCATTAGTCACTGCTGCAGCCATTCAGACCTGAGCTTCGAGTCTGACCTGTTGCCCACTAAGACCATGGGATCCTTTGAAACTCTCAGAGCCAGTGCTGCTCTTCTCTGGTGTATTCCTAGGGCGATGAACCAACTTTCCTATTTCTTTTTCTAGTCTGATCACCTATACCACTGTCCTGATGACTGGATCTAATTCCTTCATTTCCTGGAGTAGGGTAAATTCATTTTGGGGGGTGTGGCGCTGTGGGTTAATGTGCCAGACTGCAAAGCCATTTGAACGGCAAGGTTGGCGGTTCAAGTTCACCAGTTGCTCCTCGGAAACCTTATATAGGGTCGCTATGGGTCGCAATCGATCCAACGGCACTTAACAACAACAACAAACCTTATAAAATCAGGGTCTGGAGTTAGGTTCTTTTAATAAAACTACAAAAAAACATTACTTTTTCAAATTTGCAAAAACATATGATCATGTCAACACATAACGATGCTCTCTTAAGTCATGGGTCTTGAGGCTTAAGTTTCATGAACTTCAAAGGAAATCAACCCATCTACAGACCCCCCACTGACAGAAAAATTAGAGGAAATACTCTAGTAATAAGAATAATGAATCTATGAGGATGAAGGGGATTTAAAATTACATTGAATAGAAATTTGGGTAAGACTTACTGTTAAATATCTAAATAATTATTGTGTTTAAAAAGATGCCTGAAATGCCAATATTGAACTAAAATACCAGATGACACCCCGCATGACAATAGGGAGAGGTGGGTTGCAGAGGTGTGGTTGTCATAGTTAGGTGCTGTCTAGTTGGTTCTGACTCATAGTGACCCGAGGCACAATAAACTGAAATACTGCCCGGTCCTGTGTCATCTTCACGACTGTGTTACACTTGAACCCATTGCTTTTACATTGTGTCAATCCATCTCGTTTAGGGCCTTCCTCTTTTTCACTGACCCTCCACTTTACCAAGCATGATATACTTCTCTAGGGACTGGTCCCTCCTGATTATGTGTCTGAAGTATGAGACACAAAGTCTCACCATCCTGACTTCTAAGGAACATTCTGACTGTATTTCTTCTAAGAGATTTGTTTGTTCTTCTGGCAGTCCACGGTACTTTTAATATTATTTTTCAACACTATAACTCAAGTACATCAATTCTTCAATGATCTTCCTTATTCACTGTCCAACTTTCACATGCATATGAGGCTATTGAAAATACCATGGTTTAGGTCAGGCACATCTTAATCCTCAGACTGTTATCTTTGCTTTTGAATGATTTAAAGAGGTCTGTGCAGCAGATCTCTGGTAGCGTAGTGGTTATGAATCAGGCTGTGAACCGCAAGGTCAGCAGTTCGAAACTACCAGCTGTTCCGTGGGAGAAAGATGAGGCTTTCTGCTCCCGTAAAGATTTACAGCCTTGGGAAACCCTGTACAGGGTCGGTATGAGTCAGAACCGACTCCATGGCACATTACAACAACAACAACGTGCAGCAGATCTGTCAATTGCAATGCATCATTTGAGGTATGGAAGACAGGAAAGAAAAATGATTATCAAGTTTGCATCATATTCTGGAAGAAGATAAAAAAATTGTCTTCTCTTTCTAGACTTTATAAGAATAAAACCATAATTGTAAGTAAATACATTTTTAAAAATCCATATTAACTACCAGAAGGCTGTAAATAGAATGTAAAACTCTCCAGTCAATATATTAAAAACTGCATATGAAAGAAAGAAAATTCACTCGCTTCAACAGATGACCAGATTAGAAAAAAAAAAGAAACAAAGATTAAAAGGGAAACACCATAAGATGAAAAACAGCCAAACAATATTAAGTCACAAAGAAGTACAAACATACGATAAATACTTAAAATTTCAATGAGCAATGAAAGTAGAAACTTAGATGAGATTCTGTTTTAGTTATAAGCTGAGAAATATTGAAAATAACTTCCCAGCATAGTTGAAATCTCAGACAGATTGGTACACATTAGCTGATGGTTAGAGTATAAACTGGTATAGCCATTTTGAGCATTCTTTGTCTAATATATACTAAAAACCTTTAAAATTCATCAATTCCATTTCTACATATTCAGCTTCTAAAAGTGCAAGTTAAGGAAATAACCAGAGAGCTGCCTGACAATGCATACTAGAATGCAGAGATTTTTTTCTCTCTCAATCTTGCCTTCACATGTGGTGTAATTTCTTAAATGTAATACACGCCTGCTAAGAGACCTTCAAAACAAGTTCAGGTGTACAAAGTAGATAGTGAAAGTCATTTCTTCTCCTAGAAGTATGTGTTTATAACCTATATGGAGTCCCTGGATGGTGAAAACAGTTATGTGATAAGCTGCTGAACTGAAGATTGGCAGTTCTAATCCACCCTGAGGCACCTGGAAGAAAGACCTGGCATCTGCCTCTAAAAGATCACAGGCACTGAAAAACCTATGAAGGGCAGTTATACTGACTCCATGGCTGTATGTGTGTGTGTGT